TGACAGACCATGGAGCAATTTTCTTCATGCTTCTTGTGCTATGGGTTTCACTTAGCTTCTTGGGTCTGTGGCTTTACAGTTTTCATAAATTTTGGAAAAATTTCAGTCATTATTTCTTCAAATATTTTTCCAAATGCCTTTTCTCCCCTCTTACACAGAAATTCCCGTTATACATCTATTAGGCTGCTTGACAGTGTCCCACAGGTCACTGATGTTGTGTTCACATTTCTCAGGGTCTTTTTCCCCCTTTGTGTTTCATCGAGGATAGCTTCTATTGCTGTATCTTCGAGTTCACTAATCTTTTCGTCTACAGTGGCTACTCTGGCACGAATCCCTTCTAGTGCATTTATCGTCTCAGGCACTGTGTAGTTTTTCATCTCCAGAAATTTGATTTGGGTCTTTTTAAAAAACAACTCTTTCATGTCTTTCCTTACTTTTTTAACACCCAAAATACAGGAAAAGTCACTGTTTTAATACCCTTGCCTAAATCTAATATCTCTGGCAGTTCTTAGTTGGCTTTGATGGTTTGATTTTTCTCCTCATCCTGGGTCATATTTTCTTGCTTCTTTGCATGCCTGATAATCTTTGATTGTATGTCATGCTTACGAACACATATCCTTGAGCTTTGCTCTAGGATGCAATTCAATTATTTGGAAACAGTTTGGTTTTGAGTCTTAAAATTTGTCAGGCAAGACATTAGTAGCATTTAGTCAGACGCAAGACCCTTCTAAGAACTCTGGATCTCCCTACTATTATTAGGTTTTCCAGGCACTATTTCTAGCCCTGTGTCAAAAACCATTCCTTCTGATCACTTAGATGATTTCTGTGACTTTGAGTAGTTCTGTTACACACATGCTTACGAACTCCTAACCTCCCAAAGTGCTGGGATTACAGGCATGAGCCACCACGCCCAGCCCATAGTATCCATCTTTCTGGTACCTTTTCCTGCATATTTCAGATGTCTCAGTCTCCCTGAACTTTGATCTCTGCCTCCTCTGCAAGATGGGTGTACTCCGCTTGTGTTCCCCATCCCTGCACTGAGGTCAAGAAAGTACTGCCAGGTAGAAAGCTGGGAGGTTGTAGAGCTCACTTATTTGTTTCCTTTCTCTCAGTGGTCACAATTTTGTGCTGCCTGTTGTTCTCCATATGAAAAACAGTTTTTAAAATATATTTTGTCTAGTTTGTTTATTGCTTTCAGTGGGAGGGTGAGTCTCATCCCAGTTACGCTGTCTATGGAGTTCTTTCTGTTGTTGTTGTTGTTACTGCAGTGCATTCATTGAAGAAACAGTTTTGTTTGGCTCCTAAGGTATATGATGGTCTAGATTTTGCTGACTACATCCCCCTGGTATATTTTAACATGTTTCTCTGGTTCTTTATATTTCCTGGGAATTGGTAGTTGGATCAGTAGTCAAATTCAAATTCAATTTTGTTTGTCAAGAATACCTAATAGGAGATGTTGTGTACTTCTATCGGGAGGCATTTAACATCTGGGTGTCCCTCTTTTTTAAAAATTCTCTTATATTGTTCCTTCATTTAAAGGCTGGGGTATTTCTACAAAGAGAAAATTATGATCAAGTATTCTTTACACTGAGATTTGGCTTGTATAGTTAAGGCAGGGTAAATATTTGATTCTTTTTCTTTATTTAAACAATTTTCAAAATAATGAGTTAGACAACTCATTATTCTTGGCATTATCAAGTGATGTCCAAAGGGTTCGAGACCAGCCTGGCCAAAATAATGAAACCCCGTCTCTACTGAAAAATACAAAAATTAGCCAGGCGCAGTGACGGGCACCTGTAATCCCAGCTACTCAGGAAGATGAGGCAGGAGAATCACTTGAACCCAGGAGATGGAGGATGCAATGAACCGAGAAGGCACCACTGCACTCTAGCCTGGGCAATAGAGCAAGACTCTGTCTCAAAGAAAAAAAAAAGATGGACACTATGAACAAAAAGAGTTCCAGAAATATGCAAGGAGGTCTCCCCTTCAGCCTCAGTCTGAATTCTAAACAGTATCTGTGTAGGGTAAGACTGCTTAAGGATGGGCAAAGAATAACTAAAGGAAAAAAGAACAACTGTAAGCTAAACAATTTCCAGAGTTGTCACAGGGCTGCGAGACATTTGAATTCCAGCTAGTCAGAGTGAACTGACACACAAAAAGTATGGCCAATAAGCAGTGAAAAAGTGCTCAGTATCGTTAATCATCAGGAATTACAATTAAAACCGCAAAGACATACCCACTACGATAGCTAAAATTTAAGACTGATAATACCAAGTGTTAGGGCAGGTGTGGTCAAATGGAAGTTTCATTAATTGCTGATGGAAGTATAAAATGGGACAGTCACTTTTGGGAATTATTGGGCGATGGTCCCATGGATTCTCTGCTTTTGTATATTTGAAATTTTCCAGGATAAAATGCTAAAATAAATTAAAATATAACTTCAAATATTTAAATGATTACTATGTAAAAAGAGAATTAGATTCTATAGAGGAAATCATGGAGGAAAATTTGGAGTCAGTATAAGAATGAACTAGGCAACAAAGGAATGTATAGCCTTGCAAGGTAGGCGGCTCACACTAGGAACTGGTGATGCACAGGTCCTAAAAAGGCAGGATTAGAGTACAGGGAATTGCTATGACTACTGAGAAGTTTTTTTAAGCCTTTCAAAAGTCAGAATTACACTTTATACCTCTTGGAATCTTTTATTCCTAGCACAATTTCTGGTACATACTTAGCCATCAAAATGCTCTTTTGACAATCCCTCTCAAGTCGGCATCTTATAACACTGTGCCTTTATATCTTGCCATTCATGTCTGTCATTCCCTGTTATCCCCTAATCACAGATTGTATCCTACACCACTCCTATATGCCCCAACCCAGGCCTAGAAGAGGGCTCTGTGTGTATCTAGAAATATGATTAATAAAAAATTCCTTCTACAACTGGGGCTGTTAAATTTTTCAAGTGATAATTTCATTCTGAAAACCAAATTCTGAATTCTGAGACTGTCTTAATCCCTGAAAATTTCATTATTCCAACTGTACAAATTAAAATACACACCTTTACCCAGGTGACTATCACCAGCACAAAAATGAATAATACTGAAAAATGGTTTGGATTTCCTACTTGTTTTCCATCCTGGTGGTCTTTCCCCTGAAACGCCCAGGTATTCAATGTCTTTCTATGCCCTTTGACCATCCAAATGAGAATTAGGTGAGGGATGAGATCTTACACAATGCCAGATGCTACACCAGACATTTTACATTACCATGTCATTTAATTCTTACCAACAATTGGAGTAGGTATTATCTAAATTTTTCAGATGAGAAAGTTGAGGTTCAAAGTTTAGTAATTTTCCCTAAACTTCTAATCGATAGCTTTGGGATTTGAAATAAAATCATCTTGGCTTGAAACCCATAGATTTTAATAGAAAAACAACAAAAATGCTCTTTCCTATTCGAGTCTTGAAATAACAGGACCTAAAGGAAATGGCTTTGGTGAGGAGCATACTTTCTCTGTAGCCCTAAGGGCAACCTGAGCTCCAACTTCGAGAGCTTGCTTGTTCCTCTAATTTAACAAGAAAAAAATGTCAAATTCTACCAAGTACCACAAGGGGGAGCTAAGTCCTAAAAAGCCTAGATAAGTTTCTAGACATTAAATGTCTCATTTGGAGCATGGCTCCCTTTAGAAAGATCTGAATAAATATTCTGCCGTAAGTGACTCTTGCTAAGAAGCAGACCTGACAATCCCTTTCCTGCTTAAAATCTTCCAACGATCTCTGCCAACAATGGTCTGACCACTCACCATGGCACACAATTTCCTTATTTCCTTTCTGACTTTCCCTGCATCCCTCCAACAGATTTTCCCCCTCTTAACTCCATACTTTTTTATTTTTATTTTTTCTGAGACAGGGTCTTGCTCCGTTGCCCAGGCTGGAGGGCAGTGGCACGATCTCAGCTAACTGCAACCTCTGCCTCCCGGGCTCAAGTGATTCTCCTGCCTCAGCCTCCCAAGTAGTTGGGATCACAGGTGTGCCCCACCCTGCCCAGCTAATCTTAACTCCACGCTTTACCACCACCAACTGGCGGGGAATAGTGGCTCATGCCTGTAATCCCAGCACTTTGGGAGGCCAAGGTGGGCTCCCATGGCCTCAGGAGTTCGAGACCAGCCTGGGCAACATGGCAAAACCCCACCTCTACAAAAAATAGCCAGGCATGGTTGTGCGCACTTGTGATCCCAGCTACTCATGGGGCTGAGGCAGAAGGATCACTGAGCCCAGGAGGCAGAGGCTGCAGTGAACTGAGATTGCGCCAATGCACTCTTGCCTGGGCTACAGAGCAAGACCCTGTCTTAATTTTAAAAAAAACAACAACAAAAGAAAACACCAACTACCCATGCTTCCCTGACTTCCCCAAATAACCTTTTCTTCATGCCTCCATTTCTCTGAATGTGTTTTCTGCCTGACTGCATGCTGCCCGCCCCACCCCCGCCCATCTCCCTCCCCACCCCCGCCCATCTCCCTCCCCTAGCCCTTCTATTTGACAACTCCAAGTCAAGCTCCCATCTATCTTTCAACTCTGCTTAAAGCATGTCTCAGCAAACTTCTGGCCTTTCCTACCACTCTCCCTCCACAATGAACCAATTTATGCCATCGATTGTTCTACCATCAGGTAAATACTTCTCTTCCTGCCCATTATCATATTACATTTCAAGTGAATGTCTTTCTCTCCTGGCTAAATTGAAAGGTTCCTGAAAGGAAGAACCATGTTTGACAGGTGTGCCTGTGCCCAGCTCCAGCATACAGCAAAGCCTCCGCATGTGCTGAACTAAGAGCCCATTAAAGCCACACACCTGTGGCTCATTTCAAGATCTCTCCTCAAAGGATCAAGAGTCATGTTCATAAAGACAATTTAAGTTCTTCACCTCATGCTCAAAATCAACTTAAAAACTGTAATAATCAACATTTTAGTTAAAAAAAAAAACAACTATGTGTCAAACTTACCAACTTAGTTAAATAAAATATGAATGAATACATTAGAAGGATTGCATTTTCCAAAGCTGTGACACTTGCTGGCTCTTCGGCAGCTGTCTCTAGTTGCTTGTTTGCATCAATAGCATCCATAGGAGTGTCTTCTCCTGTAATTGGCCCTGGAATTGGGAGGAAAATAGATATTTTGTGCTTTAGAATAAGAATGGTTTCTCTTTTAAAAAAATACTGATTGAATATCCACTAAATATTATGTACTATGCCTGGAAAGTAAACATTCTCCTCTCTCACTGGATGTTTACTGTGCACTGTGGTGAAATACTCTTCGTGTCAGTCAGTCTATCCTGGACTATTACACACTACCGTGTTCTGTACTGTCTCCTATGAGCTTATGCTATAAACATACTTGGACCCCTTCACTGTATTTTAAGAAGTTTTATTTACCAAGTCCAGATAGCAAATCAAAAAAAGAACTGCATTGCACTGTATTTTATTTGGAAAGAGAGGGGTAAAGCAGAGGAAAAACTGAATTTGTGAGTTTTAGAGCAGTGGTTCTCCAACCGTAATTTGAATCAGGTCAGTCTTTCCTGGAAGGCTTGTTAAACACAGACTGCTGGTCCCACCCCCAGAGTTTCTGATGCTGCTGGTCTGGTTGAAAACTACTGTTTTAGAGCATAAGGCCTTTTAAGAATAATATTTTAGATTGAAATAATTTACACAAGATAGTGACAGCCAAACACTGGTTTGTAGGTTAGTTACAGCCTCTGGTGTCTTTCCTATTTTTGATCTCCATCTGTCTTGACGCCTGCTTTTCTCTCAATTAGCTCTGGGATCCTTTTTTCATTTGAGTTTAACAAGTCTCTAGCTCCTACCTTTGACAATGAATCTCCTAGAAGGCCTTCTTTATGATGTCTCCACTTTGTAGAAAAAAAATTAGCAAGCTTTACCTGGGTCCAAGTCTTTCTCAGTATTTGGCTTTGGTGACACTTCCGAGGCATGAGTGTCCCCGATCACACGCCAGTCCAAGTCTTTCTCAGCATTTGGCTTCGGTGACACTTCCGAGGCATGAGTGTCCCGGATCACATGCTGGTCCAAGTCTTTCTCAGCATTTGGCTTCGTTGAAACTTCCGAGGCATGAGTGTCCCCAATCACATGCTGGCCCAAATGGGTGGGGTCTTCAGAAACCTGCACGTTAAGTTCTGCTGTGTTCTCTTGTGAGAAATTATCTTCATGCAGTGGTTGCATCTCTATAGGTGAGAAGAACACACTGGGTTAGCACAACTTGATGACATTACCTGTTAGGGTAATCCCACTGACCATACCAGCTCCAGGGCACCTCAACATTGCCCTCCATGCATGGGCATCCCATGGAGCATAACTGGGCAGGGAAATAAGAGTTTCACTTTATTCCATTTAAAGGATGACTAATCTACATAATAAAATCTACAGAGGAGTATTTCATAAATATATTTATGGTAGGGACTTCAGTAACATCTTTCCTTGGCAAATCAACCTATGCCCACACAAATAAATTTGCAAAAGAGAATTCTACTCAAGAGCAGAAATGTGAAACATCTATTCTGCAGAGAAGTAACATGAACTCTTGCATACACAAGCATGCCTTTCTCACAGAACTAGTACAGACAGGGACATTCCATGCCAGGGCAGCTTGCTGAAATGTCCTTCGAATACTTTCAAAGTACCTCTAAGAGTCAAAGAAAGTGAAGCCATCTCCTATCCTAAGAGGCTCAGGGGACAGTCCAATGTGATCCACAGCAAAGGTGAATTTCCTTGTAGCCTGATATTTTACCCTGAAAATTCATTTGAATATTGCCTTCTTATCCAAAATACATGTTTTAATTAAATGCAAAAAAGTTCTCCTCCCCCAACTCTCAGGAAAAATTAGCACTCTGGAGTAGTACATTTTCCTGTGGCTTCCTGTCCCCTTGATACTCTCAATTCAGATACATCTGTCTGAAAAGCCGGGATACACCAGGTGTGGTAGCTCACACCTGTAATCCCAGTACTTTGGGAGGCCAAAGTAGGAGGGTCACTCGAGGCCAAGAGTTCAAGATCGGCCTGGGTAATATATCAAGACCCTGTCTCTACAATAAATAAAAAATTAGTTGGGCACAGTGATGCATGCCTACTACAGGTTGAAATGAGAGGTTTGCTTGGGCCTAGGAGTTGGAGGCTGCAATGAGCTATGATCATGCCATTGCACTCCAGCCTGGGTGACAGGGTGAGATCCTGTCTTAAGAAAAAAAGAAAAAAAAAAAAAAAGAAAGAGGAAGGAAGGAAGGAAGGAAGGAAGGAAGGAAGGGTGGGTAAAGGAAAAGACAAGAAAGAGAAAAGCTCAGATGCAGAGAACAGAACAAGGAACTAGGAATCAGAATGCTTATGTCAGGATATTGGCTCAGGGTTAATTCAACTGAATGGCTTCCACGCATCAAGCACTGCATTAGAAGGCATCCCTGTCCCAACCTTGATTAATCTGAATGCAAGAACCTTATGGCCCCGGAAGGTTTAACTGGAGTAAGCGCTCCCAAGAAACAGGAAGGACAAGCCATCCACAAAAGACAAAATTGGGGAGAACATAGGAATTTAGCCAAGGCATTGATCTAAAAGTTATACCAGTCAATCCATGGTTAGAGAGCAGTTATTTTACGACTGAAAAATTGTGTTCAATAAAACCCTTTCATAATTTTACATGACATTTGTATTTTGTACATTACTTTCTGGTTTATATCTTTCTCTTTAGGTTTTTACAAAGTTTCCTTTTGAAAATGCTAACCAGTCTCAACTATTCTAAGGGAAACAGCAAGAAATCCTTCTCCATGCTCCAGCCTAAAAGAAAGAAGGCAGGAAGGAACATGCGGACCTCCCTGTGTTGTCCCTCTCCTTTAGAAACACTGGAAACCGAACAGAGCTTCACAACATAGGAGGCACCTCAGCGACCCACCCGCCTGCTTCTCCAGCCCAATTCTGCAAGACCATAGGCACCTCACCTTCCATTGCTCCACCCAAGCCTTCCTCTAGAGATGGTGCCATCACCAGTGTGGCTGTCTCCTCTGCTGTGGAGTGCTTGTACCTGACAAAATAGATGAGGTCTTGAATGTCATCAAGCACTGCAGCCTCTTCAAATATGACCTGCATTCCCAGATCTCTATTTTCGTTCACATAATCATCAAGCATTTTTTCTGCTATGCTCAGAATTTGTGACTCAGAAGCACGGAAGACCTTATCTAGGACTTTTTCCATATTATAGGGCAGGCTCTCCTGCTGTGCTGACTTCAGTTTTGATGACATTTCTTGTAGCAAGGCTTCCATCTCATAGACATTAAGGTACTTCTGGAACCGCTGCAAAGACTGTTGCTCTTTAAAGAAGCTGCTTATGATAAGCAAGTCCTCCCTCTTGTAACTATACTCTGGCTCTACACTTCTATGTGGAGTCCAGAGGAACGAGTCATATTCAGGGTGTGTAGCAGCAGAACCCTGGCTTTCTGTGCCCACGTATTTCTCTGTGTTCTCATGGTCCTCTTTTGAGAGTTCTCCCTCAAGCTTCCCTGCAAGCCCTGAGGTCTTCAGATGTTCCTCAGGGTTGTTGTTCTTCAGATAATCAGAATCTTTATTCTGAAACATTTCACCTAATTCTGGAGTCTGAGTTTTTATGCTGTCAGAAAAGTCACTTCCTTCAGATTGCCTCTGTGCTTTCTCATCTGCCAGAGGGCGTTCTTTTCCCACCACTGTATTTGGTTCCCTGCCTCCTGTGTTGACCCCTTTGGCAGCAGTGTCACTTTTTTTGTCACTATCTAAAATCATGCTAGTTTCTTGCTTGCTTTCTTCAATTTCTGGATCTGGATGAATGGTCCCTAAAACCGCTCTGTCAGGGACTTGCAGATTAACATCAAACTGCCTGCCCTGATTCCCAGGGTTTTCTTCTTTAGACCGTTTTGCACTTACAGCGTTTTCATCCTCTAGTAGTTCTTCAGAGGGATAATCGTCCTCTTCTGCTTCAGAAAGGAAAGCTGGTCCTCCTGTGCTGTCAGTTTGGTCTGTCTGTCCTACTCTCTGTGTGCCCTGCATTGCCTTGTGATGAAAAAACTCTTCATCCAAGGAGTCCTCTTCGGCTTCTCCCTCAGACAGCCTTATCTTCTCACTCATTTGCTTATTGACTGTGGCAGCCACATCTCTTTCTTGTTGCCAGGAAAGATTTCCTCCCAGAATGGGAACCTCATCTTTCAGTTCTCTGGGCAAATCAATCTCATCTGGAGAGGAGAATCTAGGTTGATTTTGAGTTTTAAGAACTAATTCCTCTTTCAATTCCTCACGTTGATGCTCCAGTGAAAGCGTGTGCGGTTTGGCCCCATTAACCAAAGCGTTTCCCTCCACACTGTCTCTGGATGCGTTAGGGTGGTTATCTCCCATGAGTGGTGCATTACCCAAGGATTCCTGTTGAATCTTTTTGTCATTCATTTGATTCCCTGCAGCTTTCTGTGCAGATTCACTCTCTGAGCCACCTTCCAAAATCTGCTCTCCAGGCTTTTCTTCACGGAGCATTCCTTTTGAGATATGAATAGCTGCTCCTTTTAGGTCATTTGCTTTATCATCATAAGCTGATTTTAATGAGTCTTTACCCTTTTCAGCAGCTGGCATAGAGTTGAGGTTATTGCTGTGAGCAGAACTGTGCACAGTCATGCCTTCTTGCTTTTCATCCTCTAATTCTGTCTCATCTTGCACCAGGCCCCTCTTGGATTCCTGAACTCCCCTCCCTTTTCCTTTAATGTGATGTTCTGTGTTTACTTCCGGGTCTTTGTCATTATTTGTTTTAGGAACATCTACAATCAAAAGACCATCATCTACATTGTCAGGGTCACTATAATCTGTTGCTGACTGTGGTTTCCCCAGTTTGCTCTCTGGGACTAATGCATCATCATCATCTTTTTCTTCCTCTGAACTAGAGCTCTCTAAATCCATCGTACCTCTATTTTCTTCACCTCCTGTGACAATAGAGAAGATAGTGTCCCCCCAGGTTGTTAGTATATTTTTATCATCATTTTTGATGCCAGGGGGCACAGTTAGCTCAATCTTATCCTCTTCATTTGAATTCTGCTCTTTATCTGTTGGATATTTCTCAACTCCAGACTTTGCTGGAGTTTTCACATCTTCCCCATCTGTAAAGGTAAGTAATGGCAACTCATCAAAGTCTTCTTGGTTCTCCTCATCTTCCTTTCCAACTGCATAATACTCAGCATCCAATTCCTCATCAAAATCATCTTCTAATGAAGTAACAAGTCTGGTTGTCTCATCATCAGATACAAGTGCATCAGCTGTTGAGCCAAATTTAGTTTTCAAGTCTAGAGTCATTTCTTTTTTCAAAAGTTTATAGGCATCAATCTTATCCTGTTCATTTGAGACCTGAGAACTATTGCTGGTTTGGTTGTTTTCACTTTCTGGCACTTTTAGTTTATCTTGCAGCATTTCTTCAAAAGATTCAAATGAAGGCTGCTCTCCCTGGGCATGATCTGCTTGGCTGTTTGCGTGGGAGTGGTGCTTCTGAGTTGTAAACTGTTCCTGAAGATCCTCAGTGTTTTCTGAGAATACACTATCGCTTTCCTCTGAGTTGGCTTCTACTGGTTCAGGTTCAGGTTCCCTTTCCGTAGATAATTCAGAGTTTTTTCCCATATCCTGTGAAGTTTTTTCTACAGCTTTCTCGGAATCTCCAGCTGCAGAATTGTACAGTTCCCAAAACCCTAAAAGTTCTTCTACATTATAATTATCAAAATCATCTCTTCCTCCATCAAAACAAACAAAATCCGTCTCCTGCAAGAAAAAGAAAAACATTAGTGTGTCAACAGCCAAGTGTCACCAGAGCAAACTCTTATCCATGTTAATGATTGAGATAATCTCAAATTCACGTTTGGCTCTAGAGGAGCTTTTGCATCAACACTGGGCACTGACTGTTCTTGGGCAGTGGGTGGATAGGACGCTGGAACCCACTTTCCCATCTGAGTAATACTCCTGGCTTCCCTTCATTCTCTCTTCCCCAGGGGAAGAATGATTCATGTGGCTGGTGAGTTTGCTCAGTCCCATTCCTGTTTTCTGTTTGGGACCTGCTGGAGAGAAAACACATATTCTGCTCCTCCATGCTGTCCATTTGACAGAGACGGTCCCGCCGGCGGAGACCCCTAGTTGGGTAGCTCTGTCTGTGACTGGATAAGTCCATCTTAGTTTAGACTGCCAAGTTAGAAAGCCCATTAGTTCTGCACACTCCAAACAGCTTTATCAGTAAATAACGGGGTCATTTTGATCTCCTATTTGCCCAATTTCTGGGTCTCTCAATTTGTTTTGAGCACAGGTGGGGAAAAGTGAGGTGTCATTTATTGGGTTCCCCAACTCCCAACATCTACGCCTGGTGTTCTGGGAATTCACTTCATAATAACGCATCCAGAAGGAGCTGAAAGACCATCAGCTTCTCTACATTGTGCCCTCTATGTCATACTTCTGCTCCCCCAGTCAGAAACAGGCAGAATCACCTGGCTGTCAGGTTCTCAGTCTACATGGATTTGGGACTCATATTTTCCTTGGACTGGGAAAGATAAACCAGCTTCAGAAGGAACTTACTGAGATACAGATGCATGAGATATAAAAATGTAAGAGAACAAAGAATGGTGTAAAGGAGGCTTCCCATTTTACTACTGCCACAAGAACAACTTGAAAACAAGGTTCGCTAAGGTAGGTACCTGACTCCAAATAAGCATTCTAGGCAGTCACTAAGATCTGCTTTCAGGAATATTGAGTAAATCTACATTTTTCCTTTCCTCTACCAGTAAGCAAATTGACACACAAGGAGCCATAAAATGATGGAAAAGTTAAAAAAACAACAAAGATACTTTTCTTCCCCTAACTAAACATTCACAATCTTCTGGGGAGACCTGTCCAGTATACCAGAGATGAATGATTTCCCCCTTTCCATCATGCACACTTCTGAGCCAATTTTTTAAATATTTAAATATTAAATATATTTAAATCCTTTTATTCATAAAGCCATTGTGCGCTATAGATAAATGCTCTTAGAATGTGTAGTTAGCGCCTTACAGATACGAGACTGGACCTTACCTGAAACTCTCTGGTTCCCTTTTCTAAATCTATAACTATAATCCCTTAAATCACTAAGGAGTCAATAATAAGAAAACCTTTGTAAGTTTGCATTTCTGGCTCAGTATAAAATTAGAGCTTAATTAATTTAACCTGATTTCTGTATCCTTAAAATGTCTAACAGCTATCCAATAAGTAGTTTTCAAATTTCTCCTTTTGCTTGTGAAATGAAATTATTTGCCGTCTAACATTAATAAGTAAATACAAAACTACAGAACTCTTAATTTTTCACATATGAAGCAGGAAAGAGAAGCCTTGTATAAGAGTACACGGCCTTGGCCAGGAGTGGTGGCTCACGCCTGTAATCCCAGCACACTTTGGGAGGCTGAGGTGGGCGGATCATGAGGTCAGGAGATCAAGACCATCCTGGCTAACAATGAAACCCCATCTCTACTAAAAATACAAAAAATTAGCTGGGTGTGGTGGCAGGCGCCTGCAGTCCCAGCTAGATGGGACACAGAGGCAGGAGAAAGGCGTGAACTCAGGAGGCGGAGCCTGCAGTGAGCCGAGATCGCACCACTGCATTCCAGCCTGGGCGACAGAGCGAGACTCCAACTCAAACAAACAAACAAAAAAAGAGTACACAGCCTTATATAAGAATATCTAAACAACATTTATTTCAATATATTAGATAACTATCAGATTATGATAAAATCTCATTGAAATTATTTTGAAATTTTTCTTCTTTTCTAGGTAGTCACTTATAAGCCAACTTACAACTGAGGACAAGACAGAAATCCACAACTTACATCTGCTGGAACTCGTAGCTCTTCTTTGGTATATTCATGGACTACCTGGATTAAATCTTTTGGAAAATATCCAAAAATACGCCCAACCTATACAAAAGAATGGGCAAAAGGGACAAATATCAATCAAATTCTGTGTGAGAAATATAAATGAAAGACTTCTTAGTAGTGTAGAAAATATACAAATATATAGGTAAGTAGATATAACTAAGAGAGGTAGGTAGTTGCTGTTATAATTACACTGAGATTATTACTACTCTGATAATTTAAGTACAGAAAACAAGCGAACATTTCTAAAACTCTGGAAGTTTTCTTATTATATTCGGCTTAATTCTAAACATAGTACATGTAAAGTTAGTGTTTAGAAGTAGATAAAAGAGCTATGTAAGGGAATATTATTGTATATTTTTATATTATTAAAACTATGCATAGTAAAGCTGGTTATAAACACAATTCCAAATAACCTCTAGCAAAAATGTACCTATCCATTTCATAGTATTGCTCACAACCCAGAACTTATAAGTCTTTCTTAAACAATAAACAACAGCCATGTAATAAGTAAAAAGAATGCAGAGTTTCTGAAATATATGACCACTACAACAAAAGGCAAATACAGCTGACCTTAAACAACACAGGTGTTAGGGGCACAGTCAAAAATCTGCATAGAACTTTTTTTGACTCCATAAAAACTGAACTACTAATAGCCTACTATTGACCAGAAGCCTTACCAATAACATAAACAGTCAATTAACACATATTTTATATGTTATATGTATATGTTCTCTTCTTACAATAGAGTAAGCTAGAGAAAAGAAAATGTTATTAAGACCAGGCATGGTGGATCATGCCTGTAATCACATTGGGCAGAGGCAGGTGGATCGCTTGAGTTCAGGAGTTGGAGACCAGCCTGGTGACATAGTGAGACCTCGTCTCTACAAAAATTTCTTTTAAAAAATTAGCAGAGCACGATGGCATGCACCTGTAGTCCCAGCTACTAGGGAGGCTGAGGTGGGAGGATGGCTTGAGCCCAGGAGGTTGAGGCTACAGTGACCCATGATGGCGCCACTGCACTCGAGCCTGGGTGATAAAGTGAGACCCTGTCTCAAAAAAAGAAAGTAAAAAGAAAAGAAAATAAACGTTATTAAGAAAATCAAAAGGAAGAGAAAATATATTTACTATTCATTATTAAGTAGAAGTGGATAATCATAAAGGTCTTCATCCTCATCATCTTCATATTGGGTAGGCTGAGGCAGAGGAAGAAGGGGAGGGGTTGGTCTTGCTGTCTCAGCAGTGGTAGAGGCAGAGGAGGTAGAAGAGGAGGCAGGAGACACAGGCACACTTGATGTACCTTTGTGGAAACACAATGTAATTTCTGTCTGGATTCTTTTGCTTCTTCATTTCTCTAAAAATGTTTCTATATGGTACCAACCCTTCTTCTACTGTTTGCTTTATTTTCAGTACCCCTATCAGAGAATGGTCCATGTTATAAAAGAAGTTAACAGCTGTCTTTAACAACTAAAACCCTTCTATCAGATTGTCTGGTGTTGACTTGTTTTGTGGCCTTTATGTCTTCTTCCTCATTTTCTGGCACTGGTTTGGAAGCACCTATTTCCATCAAGTTGTCTCCTGTTAATTCCTCTGGTGTGGTGTCTATTAGCTCTTGAATTTCCTCAAGATCCATATCTTGAAACCCTTCACCCTCACCTTTTTAGCCATATCTACAATCTGTTTCATACTTTCTTGACTGGCTCTATCATAATCCTGTGAAATCAAGCACAACGTCTGGATACAGTTTTAGGGCTTGACAGCTTTTATGGCCTTTTCTATAATGATGATGGCATCTTCAATGATATAATCCTACCAGAACTTCATGATGTCCTCTCTATTGGCATGCTCTTCCAAGGCGTTGGTGATCCTTTCCATAAAGTATGGTATGTAATGAGACTTAAAGTTCCTCATGACCCCCTAATCTAGAGGCTGAACTAGAGATGCTGTGTTTAGGGCAAATAGACCATTTCAACTCCTTTGGTGTTGAACTCACAAGGTTGTGGGTGGCCAGGGGCATTTGTCCAATATGAAAAGAACTTTAAAAAGCAGTTCCTTATTGGCAAGGTACTTCCTAACTTCAGGGACAAAGCGTTGATGGAACCAATCCAGAAAAAGGGTTCTCATTATCCAGACCTTCTTACTGTACATCCAAAAGACTGGCAGTTGGTATTCAACTTTCCCTTCAAGACAGATAAAAGCAGAAGGCAGTCCTCATCATAAACCCAACTGCATTTGCACAAAGCAATGGAGTTGGCTTATCCCTTCTTGTCTCAAATCCTGGTGCACATTTGTTTTTCTTATTTACAAATGTCCTTCGTGGTACTTTTCCCCCCCCCCAGAATAGGGCACTTCTGTCAACATTAAAAACCTGTTCAGGCAGATAGCCTCTCTCCTAAATGATTTTCTTAATGGCACCTAGAAACTCTTCTGCTCCCTCTTGGTTGGCAGAAGCTGCTTCTGCTGTTGTCTTGACTTTCTTTAAGCCAAACCTCTTTCTCAAATTATCAAACTATCCTTTGCTGGCATTAAATTCTTCAGTGTTAGACCCTTCACTTTTCTTTTACTTTGAGTTGTTATACAATGACTTTGCTTTGTCTTGATTCACATTAGAGTCTATAGGAATGTCTTTCTAACAGCAAGCCTGTACCCACATAAAAGCTGTATTTTTAATAGTATTTGCAAAATGGTATTTTGCAAAAAGTGTAAGATTTTCATAACTGCTGGCATAGCTGCAATAACAGCTTCATGGATTTCCTTTTCTTTTTTTATAATGGTCCTTAAGCTAGATTTGTTAATCTTGCAACCACAGCTGCAAACCTCAATCTACAGCACATATCAACCAATCAACTTTTTCTTGTAATGTCATTACTCTTCTCTGCTACTTGACAGCACTTCCATCATCACTAGTGACACCTTGTATGGGTCCCAGAGTGTTATTCAAGGTTTATAGTATTGCACTAAACACAAAAAATACATGAAAACCACAAGAGATCACTTTTTACGCACTATACAATTGACTGGAGAGATGAACTGCTCACATGGAAATGACATGGAAATGATGTGGAAATCACGTGGAAATGACAGCGTTACATGGCATTTTAAGTGGATACTCATAATACTTAAGCTCACTAGAACAGCAAAAGGAGGTGACTATGCAATATATAGTACACTATGTAGTACAATTAATTTATGCAATTACAATTTAATATTTTATCTTTACATGCTTACATTTCTCTCGACTGCGAAAGGTGCCATTAAGATCTGCGTTTGTGTGTGTATGTTTCGATAAATTGTAACTTTTTATACAGATTTGTGTATGTCTTATGGCAGTAAAGAATAAAATACACTATGATCTACATGTAGCTTACATACTGATAACATATCTAACTTTTTCTTAATTTTTTTAGTAATTTCTATGCTATGCAGTCTGAGAGTTAACAAATTATTGCAAACCTCCACAAAATTTTACAATATATTTATTGAAAGAAATCTGCATTATAAGTGGACCCACAGAGTTGAAACCTGTGTTGCCCAAGGATCAACTGTATTTGCGGATATGATGTGTTATACTGCCATTTTCCAAAAGGATATTACAGGTAACTGGAGACAAAACAAAATTACAATGTAATACACACTAATCTGCACACCAAGCTTTTGTTTCATGCAAACCAAAATCTCTATAGAAAATAATTCCATTCATTTTCAGCACTAGTAAAATGTGCCCTCTTGAGAAACACACAGTCTTTTACTAGCTACTGTCTGAAAGGAAGAGGTATATCTTCCAATCATTAAAGGAGGAGGTGGCATGTAAATCAAATGCATGAAAAGAAAAAAAGACCATTATATCACTAATTCACAAAACATCTCCATTCATGAGTGCTCTCGTTCTATCTGAAAACTATCTGAAAGCCAGTAGTAGTAGTAAAATACTGCCATGGAGATTAGATAAGGGCAGTTAAACTCTGTGTTATTGGCAGATCAAGTCTAAAATGCTAAGAAACCAAAAAAGACTGCAGAATGAAAACTAAGAAACAGAAATGAGAATCATTTTGAAAGCTGAAGACAGAGTTTTTAAATTCCTAAGAATAAGGTTCATCAAATTAGAGGGAAGACTATTTTATTAAGGGAGAACCTGGAAAAAGGAAACAAATCAGAGGTAGAGGTATATAGAGAAGGGGAAATACTATACATTTACCTTCCTTAATCTTTGTCAATTGGGACCACAGGTGGCATCTCATTTCTTATGATTTGACAAAAAAAAAAAAAAAAAATCATAGGTCCACATGACCAGAAGCAATCTTTATGTCTAATTTTGCTTTCACACATCATTTCTGCCAAGGTACTGTTGATTTCTTTTGGGCAGGGTGTGGGGGGGAAAGTAGGGTATTACCTTAAGAGAACAAATTCTGCATAAGATAATATCAGGACAAATACAAATAAATGCCAATGCCCTGTAAGGAAATACTGAAAAGGAAGACAGATAAGGCATGAGCCTTTCCATTAAAGAGTCTTTGACTTTATGTGAGCTAAGACAGTATACAAATTGACTGCCATACAAAGCAGTAAAGCAAATGCCACATGAACAGTGCAAACAAAGTGCCACCTAAACAATCACCAGGCAGCAAAGATCCCTTCTGGCTGGGTGCCGAAGGCAGCGTTCCTTAAGAAGGCAGGATGAGAGGTGCAACCCAGAAAGACTGACAGGACATCCAGAGGTGAATACGTGAATGAGCAAAACTGCAGTGGGAGGAAAATGTTAAGTCAAGTTCATTCATCCAAATGCTCATAGATGAGGAGAGAAAAAAAAAACTTAACTGTTCTATGAAAACCGCAGCCTAGATACATGGAAAAACATTTCCAAGAGTAAAGAATATCAACACATCTCATTAGGTAGACTTGAAAGAAACAGAATAGATTTGTCTTCGTACGGAGGGAGCCACTTGGGATGCTCTCTAAATAGGAGAGCTGAACCTGACCAGTGGTTGTTTCCCAAGATTACTCCTGAGGAACCTGGAATGCCAACAAAATCAGTCTATTTTTCCCAAGGGGATTTCTTATTTTCTCTTTGTTTGTTTGTTGTTTTATTGAGAGTGAAAACTTTCATAGTTGGGGTGGGTATTTCTCTAAGTGGGGACAATCCTAAAGATATCGAGGACCCTTACTACTTAAAGTAAAAACACAGTCCACACATCACTCTTTCTAAAAAGGAAAGGACAATAACTCATAAGACAGGCCTCTCAATTAGGTCACTCCCAGTGAATATCCTCGTTAAAAACACTAAAGCATTGATTGCCATGTCTGGTATCAGGGCACCCATAAAATCAGCTGGGAACAGAGCCCCTGGGGTAACCTCCAGACACAAGTGTCTGAAAAGCAGGACAAGGATGAACCCAAAGCTGCAAACAAAAAACAAACAAGAAAGCACATGGGAAACACAACATTTTGCTTTTTTGCAGACTTATAATAGCACAGATGATTAGGGAACTGTTCCCAAGACTGCCACTTTTTCATAAATAAAAATATAAACAAAGAAATATACATAAAATCAACTTTAAACTTACATGCCTGAAACACTCTCTCAAACATAGTTTACATAGTAAGTCTAATTCCTAAGTCCTATGAATCTTTCCTTTTTGAAGCAATGAAGTAAAGAATTTTTCAGCTCTTACCATTTCAACCCCTAATATGTATGGAGTATCCTAGAGGTTGACGCTGAGGGGAACTTGCCAGAATCAGTTCTATTTCAGAAGACTCTGCTGAGCCCCTACTCTGTGCAGACCCAAGGTCTGCTGGGTACACAGGGCCATCTTTTTTCACAGTCAGGCAGAGAGGACAGGTTAACTCCATCAAGCGTCCCAAGAAAATGTAGTCATTTAAATCTACAGTGCTAAAGAAGCCAGTAAAAATTAAGCATATAAAGTATGTCAAAATTTTACTTACACTTCCAGCCCAAACTTCAGGCCATGCCCTTGCCAGTTTATAGTAAACATATACAGGATCACCTTTTTTAAAATTCACAAAACGACAATCCGGGCCTGTGAAATCTTCTAGAGCCTCACCGCGGTACATTAACACTGTATATAGAGAGAGAGAGAGAAAAAAAAAATAGCCAGATATCAGGATTCAGTGTTCACAGTGCATATTGATTTATCAGGAAATATAAGAATCCCACTATAAACAACAACCAAGTTTTTCCAGTACTCTCTGGAATTTCTTTCATATGCTCAAAGAAAGTATCTCAAATCCTTAGAGCTTTACTGCTATAAATCATATCTTCTACAAGCAGACAGGGGAAAGGAAAACCTTCTCTATTTTTCTCTATGGATAATATTGAGAAACAAAAAGCAATGTGTCAACTGCCACACATGGCTTTTCTCACCCAAGTGAAACTCTCAATTCCCTCTCTAACCTTCTAGTCCTCAATCTTTTCTGTTTCATATTCATAAAAAGCTTCCTTTTGCAAATGGGTAAATTCAAGCCCAGATGATGACTAGCTTAAGCATGACTACATGAAGGGTAATAGGGAGCTAGAGTACCCAGGAACCCCCAAGAGGTCAATTAACTTGAACTAACCACTAAAAGTCTCTATCTTCAAGTGGCTATAACCACTACTATGTAGCAGTAAACACTGTCAATTTCATTTGCAGCCAAGTTGTTCCCTCAGTACAGTGTCTGGATAAATTGATGGGAAAGGATATCTATCACATCCTACTGTAGATTCAATTACATCACAAGGGAATCTTTTCTGAAAGTAAATAATGTTGACTGTATCCAACATTAAGTTTCAAAACAAAGGAAAAAATACCCTTATGTATATTTTTCTATAAAAAAAATCAAAAGTCGACATCCCATTTGGCTGGGACTAAGCAAAACTATGAGAATAGGTCAGTAATTCAATCACGCTTGATCTAGAAACTGGTAGAAGCAGTACTTTTATTTTTGTTGACCACATACACAGTTTCCCATGTAAGACGAAATGGACAATAAATACGCTGAAATAGCAGAGACAAAGAAGGATGAATGGAAATAAGATTTTTTCCAAAAGCCAATTTGCTATAAAATACATTAAAAACCTGCCTTTAAATGGCTGTACATGCATATAGATTTGGAAGGGGTTACTTGTTTTTTGAAGCTAAACTCTGATTATTTTCCAACATGTCAGCTTTGTAGCTCAGATATAATTGAGTGTGAGGCCAGGTTTAAGGTGATGGACAATTTAAGGTTGAGAATAAGACCAGAATTGAAAATGGCAATGTTTTTCTTGCTCCCCCTCATAATAGATCATAGAGGATTTATAATAATATATCAGAGGCCAAAAAACTGCACCTTGTGGAACAGCTATTTGAAAAGCACACAAGGGCACCATACACACTCACATTACTAAACACTTTATACAACACAACACACACGCATCTAGATCTTGCTCCTGTTGATGCCTATTGTATTTGGTTTACTCTGTTTGAACACATACCATTTCTCAAGTTATGTTACAACCGTGAGCTCTTCTAACATCACGCCTTAGTACTGAAGAAGCACCAGTGATGTGATGATTCTCCAGGTACCTGTTTTGAGGGACCCAGGTAGGGCAACGCTTGCAAGCAAAGAATACCAACTATCTTGCCATTGCCAGCGGCAAATGGGCAACAGTGTGGTTTTGACCCAAGAAAACTAAAGGGAAAAATCATGGCAGTTGTACTGCTTTTGTAGTGTTTATTTACATCAACCATAGGGTTATCTCTAGGAATGGCTTCACACTCATTAGAGACCACTTTTCTTGATTAGTGTTGTAGAGATACAAACAGTTCATATTATGAAATTTGGTTTTCATGACATCAATTTGAATATAAATAGCTAAACCGTAGGGTTCTTGGCCTTCTTAAAATGAATACTTTTCTATAGGCATTGCTTAACAATGTATGAAAAACCGTTTCTGCAGCGGCTATCAGTAAGTTACAAGGTTGAGCCTGCCTGGGAGGCCCTAAAATGATCCTGGTCCGGCGAACACAGGGAAGAGGTTTCAACACACAAGTGGCTAAGGCTAAACCAAGCTTGGCTTATGAGACCCTTGGAGTATTTACTGTCATTCCTGTAATAACCCTCTTCATCCGAGCCTGAAGATCTGTGCCCTCTCCACCGCCCACCTCCAATCCCAGACTGGAGAGCAATTCCGCTTCCTGCGCACAGAAGAGGAGGCTGCCGGTCCCAGGTGGCCGGTGCAGATCCTCAGTCTCTTCGCAGAGCGAAAGATTTTGGTCTTCCTGCAGCCCTGCCTGGCAGTCTGCAAGGAGGCTTCCAAGCACAGAAACGACAGGATTGATCAAAGTCGGGGCAGAGACCTCGGAATACAATGAGTGCTTGGACTCCGGACTCGTCCCAAACCTAAACTCCCAATTTCTGTTCAAAAGGCGGTACAAGCCCAAATTCCAATAAAGCAGAAGGGCAAAGGAGCAGCGCCAGAGAGCCTTTCCTGAGAAACCCCACCATCAACCTGCCACTGGGAAAACGCCCACCGGCATCTGAGCCCTTAGCGCATCTGCCCGGGTATTGCACCCACCGAGGTCCCCGCAGCGCGGGCAGGAAAGCTTTGGCTGCGGCGTGGGGAGCCCAGACGCGCGGCGCGCGACAACATCTACCCTCCCAGCCCGGGCGGATGGCGGGGGGTGGGAAGGGGACGCTGTGAGCCACTCCTGGGGAAGCCGGGGACCACCGCAAGCAACCCCCAGCCCCAGCAGAGGAAAATAAAACGCTGGCAACAAGTGGGAGGTGCAGCCCCCCATGGTCAGGCCCGCAGGGCTGGGCGCTAACAGAGCGGGAGAAGGCAGACACAGCGACCCGGAGCGCGCCCATCCCCGCGTTCCGCCCGTCCCGCCCGTCCCGCCTGCGACCCCCGGGACGGCCCGCTGGGCTGCGGAACTCCGGCCCCCGCAGAGCCGAGGCGGCGCCGCCGCGGAGACCCCGGGGCCGGCCGCCCACCGGCGCACTCACTGCTGCATTCGTCGTCCGCGCAGAGTTTGTGCTCCGAGAAGCGCCGGCCAGTGCTGGGGTCCAGCTGGCCCGGTACCCGCCAGGGCAGCCCGAGCACGAGCAGCCAGACGAGCAGCCCAGGCGCCGCAGCCATGTTGTGGTCACTTCGGGGAGCCGGTGACGCGGAGGAGGAGGCCGGGGCGGGGGCGGGGATGGGGGCGGGGACGGGGGCGGGGATGGGGACGGAGGCAGGGACGGGGCGGGGGCGGGACGGGGGCGGGGACCGGGATAGGGACGAGGGCAGGGACGGGGCGGAGCGCCGGGGGCGAGTGGGAAGACAAGCGCGGAGGGGCGGCGCCCGGGAAGGTCTGAGCAGTTTTCGACTGACACGTCAGCAGAGGCTCTAGGAGGGATGCGGGAGACCTCCAGGAGGAGGACTGGCAGCCGCCTCGTCCTCTCCTCGAAGCTTTCTCCTCTGGTCGCTGCCTTGGCAACCAGGACTCTTAAGTGTTCTCCCTCGTCCAATCACCTGCCTTTGCCCCAGTCCCTCGCAGAACCTCCGCGTGACTCCATTCGTTGTTCACCCCTCCCTGCGCGCTAGGGTCCCTCAACCCTGCGCCATCTCAACAGGTCCCTTCCAGCCCTTTCTTGCAGCTTCTGGTTTGTGGCCTGTCCCGAACCAGCGCCCCTCCACTTCACCCCGCTACTCCCACTTTTGGTATGGTACCTCCTTTTCTGAACTACCAAATCCCACCCGCGATTTGCCACTATTAGTCTCTGGTTTCAGGCTCCCTCCCCTTCAGCCTCCCAGGGCTTCCTTGGGGGCACCATACCGTGATGCTCTTTATGAAAGCGGGAGGTGAATGGAATAGGGGGCTGAGGATGTAAATCAGAGCCTGTGGCCTGCTTGGTCTTTAATAGAAATGGGTAATATTCCTTGGGCTGAGATCTTGAGATTCCTAGATCTATATCCATAGGGAAAAAGTAAACTAATTCAATAACAGTGTGATGAGCTTCCATTTTGTACTTATTTCATGCCTGACATTGTATAAAGCACCCAGGGTGGTGGGAGAGGACCTTGTCTAAACAAGTCCACGACTTAGTGAAAACCAACTGACATGAAAATAACTAAACAATAAATGTCAGAGTAGGGAAAATTAGTTAATAGCAGCTAACATTTATTGAGTACTTTATGCCCAGTTGTTATTCTAGGGTCTTTCTACACATGAATTAAGATTAATTTAATCTTCACAACAATATCACCTTAGAGTAGTAGGTCCTATTATGATCCCCATTTCAGAGATGACTACCATAAGGCATTCAAACACCTAGTGAGTGATGGAGCTAAGATTCAAACCCAGGTGGTATGCTCCTTTTTAATCACAACTCTGTAAAGCCTCCATCAAGCAACAAGCAATTTTTGTACTTACTTTCTGAGTAGGAAAACAAAATCTTATTTAAATCATATTATAACTGGATTATTTATATGTGCAATTAAAAAAGCGGGGATGGCATGAGCAGATCAGCCCAGAGAAGAGTGGCTACAATGCTCTCCAGCCCTGGTTGAAGAACTTGGCATTTTTCTGTGACCAGGAGCTTCTCATTGCAGTCTCTAAGGTTATTCATCAACCTTGAACAACAAACCCAGCAGCTGGTTTCCCAAACAAATCGTATTATTTAAAAGCAAGAAGAAAGAATGTGGCTTGTCTGTGCAATCCATTATATTGAATAAGGAAAAAACAGTAAACAGTTGCTCACTAATTTTTGTCTGTAGGAGCCGTGAGAGATCCTATTGGGCCAATGTAATTCCAATGCAGTCCTGAGAAAATATACATTTGGTAAGGTCATGAACAAGCACTCTCTATCCAAGTAGTAGTTCTGTTCATTCTTCATTTCTTTTCTACTGTGTATTTATTTGTTTTAATATCTTAGATGTGTCTAATAGGCATCTCTAACAATATGCTGAAAACCAAACTCTTTGTTTTTTTCTCTCAAACTCTGCTCCTGTCAGTCTTCCCTATTTGAGATAGGAATAGGAATGACAATTTAATTCCTATCTTCCAGGTGCTTAAGCCAAAAACATACAAACCATCCTTGACCTCTTTTCTCTCACACCCGAGTCCAATCCATCAGACAATCCCATGTCTTTTTAAATAGCTTCATTGAAGTGTAATTAACCTACAATAAATTGCACATGTTTAAAGGGTACAATTTGATAATTTTTGACATATGTCTACACCCATGAGACCATTACCACAATGAAGTTAATTAACACATTCATCACCTCTGAAAGAGTTCTCATGATCCTTTATAATCCCTCCCTCCCTTCTTCCAGCTGTCTTCAGACAACCTTCTGTCACTGTAGATTGGTTTGCATTTTCTAGAATTTGATATAAATGGAATAATATAGTATACATTCTTTGTCTGATTCTTTCACTCAGCATAAATATTTGAAATATTAAGAATCTGACCATTTCTCCCCATCTCCAGTGGCAGCAGTGCAGGCCAGGCCACCCATCTCTCACCCGAATAACTGCAATAGCCTTGTCATTTTCTTGCTTCTGCTCTTACCCTTCCAAAGTCAGTCTCAATAGTAGCTAAAGCAATAGTTTTATGATATAAATGTGGTAGTGTCTCTTCCCTGCTCATAACCTTCCTGTGGCTTCCCATTTCCAAGTAAAATGCAATTACTTCTTTATGGAGTATACTGTCTTATTTAATTTTACTCCTCTCCCCTTTTACCCTCATTTCCTGACACTCCTCCCTTGCTCTGTTGGTTCTACCCTAATACGCCGAGCCTAATCCTGCATTCATGTATCTGCACTTGCAGTGTTCCTTCAGTCTGGAATAATTCCCCAAATAGTCTGCCTGGCTAACTAGTTTCCTCAATCGTGTCTCTGTAACAGTGCCATATCTTACAAGTGAGGCCTTCCCTGATACCCCTACATAAAACAGAACTCCTTCTCATGACTAGCTGGTTCATCACCCTGCTTTATTTTTCTTTAGAGCGTTTACCACCTGCCTTATGTTTATCTACTTTACTGCCACCCAACCTCCAATATAAGCTCCATGAAAGCAGGGGATTTGTCTGTTTTGTTCACTGCTGTAATATCAGTGCCTAGAACAATGTCTGGAATATATAAGGTACTCAACAAATGGTTTGTTGAATAAACCCATGGATCTTCACGTATTATAAATATATTATGCTATTAACCTAAATAAAGCCTCCATAAAATGAATAGTACCAAGAGGGAATATACCATGAAAACAAGGCATTTGGTGTCTTCCCCTCAGCGGCATCCTTAACACCAAAGACAGAACCTGAAAAGTATTTACTGTTGAATGAGGGTGTATTTGTTGCAGAGGGAGTGGATGAAATAGCACGTATTTTTTCCCTATATACTACCAGAATATTAAAGCAGATTTAAAACATGATTTTATCTTATTTCTCCTTAGATTAGAATTAATAACAATTCGTTGATGAAAAAAACAAAATTCCAAAATGATCTAATTGAATATTATTACTTTACAAAGTGAATAATATTTAATTTGACTAATATTTACTATGCTTTTACATGAAAGGTCAGAGCGCTCTGTTACTGAAGAACTAGCTACTTAAGTGTGTAGATTTTATAGGGTTTTGATTTATCTACATTTTTGAAAAAATTACTTTCTTAAAAAGATATTGACAAGCCGGTGGATAATTAGAAGACAGTTCTCAACTGACCACAATGAAGGTAAGGGTGGTGGTTCTTCCTCCTAGAGTTTATAAAATTAGGGGATGAATCAGCATTCATTTTCACTCATAGCATTTGAATACGTGGTATTGATGTTTAACATAAACTCTAATCTTATGTGTATTATTTGGTAACACTTCAAATGGAATTTTCAAATGGGTCAAGATTGAGTAAGAGTTAAAAATAGATTTGTCTAGTTTTGGGTGGAAGATACATAGAAACATAAGATTGGAGGGTTTCTGACCTCAGGGAATTTGCAGTCTAAATGAGAAAACGAGATATCTGAAACAAATAGGAGACATCACAATAATATATATCATTGTAAACTTGCCATGGTGCCTAGCCATGAACATCCGGAAGGTCTAACACTGAAGTTACCAGTAAGAACCTAGTCTATTGCCAATGATGAAATCACTCAGTGTTTACAGAATGGAGTAAAACATTTATTGAGGACTACAGCTTCCATCCAAGATGGAGTAACAGGGACAGGATTTACCCTTTCACATTAAACATCTAAAAGCCTGGACAAAATGTATGAAATATTTTCAGACATTGGACAATAAGCAATATAGAACAGTAATCCCTAAGATAAACTTGAAAGATGAGGTGAGTGCTATGATTGTCCTTGCTTACTGCCTGGAGATTTCCAGGACACAGCCAGGGAAGGGAAACTTAAATAGGAAATCTTCTCGAGTTAAAGAGACAGATTTGAGAGTTTAAGGAAGCCAATGTAGCTAGAGTTCACAGGGCAGAGTCCAAGAGAGGGGAAAAAAAAAGCTACACGGAGAAGAGAGAATTGTACAGAGAGAGCGCCAGAGATCTACAGAGGATTTCCTTTAAGTCTTCAGCTGAGTAACAATAAGCATATATGTGTGAGGAACTAGCTGATGCCAGGAAAAGAACACCAGGGAGGAATGGAAGAGACAATTGTTAGAGTGCAGAACAGTTTGTATTATCACCAGCCAGAGTAGAAAATCTGTAATAAACAGGGCATCAAGTAAAGTATTCAGTAAAGGGAAAAATTAGCCCAAGATTAGAGGCTACTCTGGTCCTGCCTAGCAAAACTTAAAAGCAAGCCTTGAAAAGATCAAAATGCTTCCAAGTAAATTAACTGCATTCCAGAGTAAAGCTCTAGTATATTTAAAAGAATACAAAAATATCTAACATTCAACAAGGTAAATTCATGATGTCTGGTATGCAATGAAAAATTATAAGGTATGCAAAGAAGTAAGAAAATGCAACCCATAATGAAGAGAAATCGATCAATAGAAATTATTTAAAAAGACACTAATGATAGAATTATTACACAAGTATTTGAACACAGTTATAGTCCATATGTTCAAAATGCTATAGGAAAACATACGTATGTAAAAGAGAAGCAAGATATAAAAACAATTGAATTCAAACTTAGGTGAAAAAAACCAATGCCTGAGAT